CCCCCCCCCCGCAGTGTGGATATATATAGCATGTTCTCAATTTATGTTCATTGTTGGAAAGGTTTCCAGGTAATGGCAGAGGATACAGACCACAGGAAGCCAGGGAAGATATTGTAAAGTTCATGTCATGGGCTGCGGTTGTGGCTCAGAGATAGAGAGCTTACCTAGCAGGTATGAAGTACTGGGTTTGATCCCCAGCATCACATAAAAAAAAAAGAAAAAGCTAAATAAACCAAATAAAGTTCATGTCATCTTCATAGGAAAGGATTATAGTCTAGTTTCCTTGCTTTCAAATGGAGAAACTGAAGCCCCAGAGGGGAATTGAACGCGGAAGGTCCCTAGCTGACAGTGGCCAGTTATGACCAGGATTTTAATTCTAATTCCAGGTCAGCCTTTCCCCGCCTTTCAACAATCTCATTTGAACATTCCCCACACCCACATCAATATCCAGCCTCATAATACCTCCCCTTCAGAACTCCCTTTAAAGTCACAGGCGGACCCTGCCGTCCCTGTCATCACACCGGCCACCTCCCCTAAGCCCAGATGCACAGAGCCCATTTAAGTGCAATTCAAAGGTGAGAAAGTAGAAACAGCAAGGGTGACCAACTCTTTTGAGAACTTGGAGAAAACTATACATATATCCCAAACTAATTCCAGACTGGATTTCTTGGATGGGTCCCAGGAGCATGTCCTCACCCCACCCTCCTCGCCCCAGATCATCTCCTCAAGCCCAGCCCTGGACTTCCACCTTGGGGCCTGGGGCCTCTCCCTGTGCTGGCGCCACTAGCTTAGTGGACTTTGTCGCCATAGCAACCGGAGACACGCCAACCGGCCTGTGCAACTAGGGCTGAAAATTTCCAGGTACACTTTTGTTTTGTTTTGTTTGTTCCCCACATATGCTTTTCTTACCGCTTCCCGCGCCTGATGCGTGAGTTTCAGAGTCTGGTAAGAAAGCTCCATCAGACAGGCATTAAGTCCGAGAGAAGGGAGAAAAGGGGCCAGCTACTAGACTGACCAGTTCAGCTCCAAAATGCTGCTTCGGGAAACCTGATGCTTAGAACTAGCCCGCCCCTTTCGGATTGGGTAGGGCCTAGACAGCTCAGCCAATCACTGGCCACAGAAGGATTCTGCAGCGCAGCAGTCAATGTTAAACCAAGTTTTTTCCTAAAGCTTTTGCAGGGACCAAGAGAGGATGATTACTAGAGCATAGGTCGGGGTTTGCAATTACTTTGTTTCTCTTAGTTCCGTCTCTAAAATGCAAGTTACCCAAATTTTTATTTTGGTAGTTATGCAGGCCTTTGTGACCCAGTGACTAAATGTTGACATCCCGCCGTCACCATTTAGGGTAAAGGTTTGAAGTTACCTCCTGATCTTTGAAATTGTCTATACATGGCCCAGACTGCAAGGATCAGCTATAAACCCTTTGGCTGTCAGGGACTTTCAGGAATGCAAACTCTACCTCTGAACTTTCCTTCCTCCAACTTCCTTTGCATCAATCAGAGCAGCTTTCATCAGGAATGGGTAAAAATGGACTCTAAGACTCTCTGCCTGCTTGCTTGCTTGATTTTACCTCCATGTACTAACCAATCAATGTTTTCAATGGCTTTCCCCCTTCTTTCGCTGTGAATCCTTTTCTAAACCATCTCTCATCGTTATCTTCAGGCTTTTCCATCCATTTTCTCCCCTGGAGATACAAAATATGCAAGTCTCCTCAATAAAAAAAAAAAAAAAAAAAAAAAAAAGATTCTCATAATTGTTGAACTGGATCTCCTCTCTCCAATTCACTTCTCAACACATTCTACCCCTATTTTTCTAGCGGGAGGGGGTATGAGGGATTGACCTTAGAGGCACTCGGCTATTCAGCCACATCCCCAGACCTATTTTATTTAAAGACAGGGTCTCACTAAGTTGCTTAGCCCCTCACTTTTGTCTCTGTAGCCAATGAGATACTTTTTGAAACAGTTCTTGCCAATAGTCCAAAACTTCCTAATTGGGAAATTGAACTATAGATGGTTTACAATTCTTTTTAAAATTTATTTATGAAAAGTTGGACACTTATTTTAATTATAACTATTAGTGCATACTAATTGTAGGACTTTATAGGATTTCACTGTGCATTTTACAATCTTTGCCTTATTCCAAGTTGACTCATATTGAAATCAGTAACTACTTTCTTATAATAATAGCTATAATTTATTAAACATCTATGCTGTCTGTGATGGTGCAAGCCTATAATTCTAGCAACTAAGGAGGCTGAGGCAGGAGGATCTTAGGTTCAAAGCCAGCCTCAGCAACTTAATAAGACCCTAAGCAACCTAACCAGACCCTGTCTCAAAATAAAATGTAAAAAGGGATGGAGGGCAAAGCACTTTGGTCCTTGGTTGGAGTAGCACCATTCTTTTGCTCAGCAGCTGGAGGTCTTCATTGCATGCAGCTTGGCGTGGAGGTCCGAGCAGCAGCATAAGACTTCAGCATTGATTAAAAAACAATGTCCTCCCCCACCTAAAAAAAAAAAAAAAAAAAAAAACCAAGCAGCCAAACCAAGCAGACTACTCCAAGTCCACTGGTAGGGAAGCCCTCGAACCAGCTGCCAGGAAAAGTGCTCCTCCAACCGGCAGGGTTCAGAAACCTCATTGCTACAAGACCAGGATACGGGAATCCACCAAGCTTTTCACCCCAAAGTTTTTTTCCAGAGGTAGTGAGAGAGATCACCCAGGAATTCAAAACTGACTTGAGGTTCCAGAGTGCAGGCTTTGGCGCCTTTCAGAAGCCTAGTCAAGAGGACATGGTGGGTTTATCTGAAGATATTAATAATCTGTGTGCTGTCCTCACTAAGAGAGTCACCATCATGCCCAAACACACCCAATTGGCTCACCAGATACGGGGAGAGCGAGAGCTTATGGAGTTTTGTAGTAAATTCTGTAAAGTACTTTGCTTTAATTTGTACTTTATTGTAAGAAATTGCTTATGATATGTTGTATTTTGTGCTTCACTCATTCCCTCCTTCACTCAGGGTGAATGCCAAAAGTGACGATTCACAGACCTCAGTGACGTCACCACTTGCTCAGGAGTAATTGGTTGCTAATATGGAGAAGAGGTGGGCTATACTTCTTGCTTCTCATGATGCATGTTTCTGTATACTAATGAGTTGTTGGGTAGCTATTAAGTTACTAGAATTGACAAATGTGTACAGAGTCCTTTTGCGATAAAACTGGTTATGAGTTGATCCAAGTGTTTAACAATTGGGGCTGTTAAATCTGACCATACATCACTGTGATACAGTGTAGAGGGTTTCAAGTTTGAAAATACAAGTTTTAACCCCAGTACAATTTACAGTTTCCAAAAAAAAAAAAAAAAAAAAAGGAGGAGGAGGAGGAGGAGAAAGAAAGAAAGAAAAGAAAACCTGGCAACTTTAGAGTACACTAGTGCTATTTTATATATTAGAGTGGCAATATTTTTAAATTAAATGTTTTACGTTTAAAAAAGGTAAGGTGGAATGTAACTCGGTGGTTAAATGTACCTGGGTTCAATTCCTGGTGTGTGTGTGTGTGTGTGTACACACACACACACACATACATATATTCATGTATATATATGTTATATGTTTATGGTTCTATTGTATAAGGCCAGACAGTGTGCTATGTGGTTTATAGGCCTACCTCACTTTGTGGTACTTCACATTTTATTGCATTTGACAGATATCGTGTTTTTTACAAATTGAAGTTTTGTGGCAAGCGTGGGATAAGCCAACCTATTGAAACCATTTTGCCAACATGTGTTCTCTTTGTGTCTCTGTATCACATTTTGGAGATCCTCAAAATATTTCCAACTTTCTCATTATTATTTTACCTGTTATCATGATCTGTGATCAGTGATCTTTGATGTTTAATTGTTTTGGGGGCACCACGACCTGCCCATATAAGGCAGTGGATTTAATCAATAGGTGTTGCATGTTCTGACTGCTCCACTGGTTGGCCCCTATTCCTGGGCCTACTTATTCCCCAAGACACAAAAATATTGAAATTAAGCCAATAACCTACAGTGGTCTCTAAATGAAATAGTTTAGGGACATCAAGATGGTGGAGACAGGATACAAGAAAAATACCAGCTGGAGTGCAAAACAGGGAGATGAGTCATGCTCTGTTTAGGTGAGCCCATTCCCATGAAAACTCCCAGCCACTGAGGGCTTGTCCCATGGCAACTCCTGCCACAGGTTCCAATCAGGCAAAATCAAGGAACCAATGGAAACTGTGTTTTAATTAGGCAAAAATTAAAAAACCAGCAGGGTGCAGTGGCGCTCACCTGTGATCCCAGCAAGTTCAAGGTCAGTCTCAGCAACTTAGGAAGGCCTTGTCTCAAAATAAAAAATTAAAAGGTTTGGGGATGTGACTCAGTGGTTAAGCACCCCTTGGTTCAATACCCAGTACCAAAAATAACTAAATAATTACTGGGAATGAGCATGGCAAGGTATATAATCAGGTCCATCGGGAGAGAATCAAGACATATAAAAGAAGAGAGTTGTTAGGAGGCCAGAGCCCAGAGCTCCATGCCCTCACCCCCACCCGCCCACACACTGTTACTTTCACTTTCAGTAAATCTGGCTTTGATATTAACTTCTAGTGTCTTGCTCAGTTGTTTATTCTGGAAGCCAAGCAACTGGACCCCAGCTGGACACCTCACCCATATGGTAAGTGTTCAGGTAAAAGAAAGAGTCGTTGTTCACTAGTTTAAATTTAAAAAACGAGAAATGATTAAGATTAGTGAGGAAGGCATGTCAGAAGCTAGGACAGGCCAAAGCTAGACCTCTTGAACCAAGCAGCGAAATTATGAATTCAAAGGAAAAGTTCTTGAAAGTAGGTTAGAAGTGCTACTCCAGCGAGTCCATAGAGAAAGCAAAAGAGCCTTATGGCTGATACTGAGAACATTTTAGTGATCTGATTAGAAGATCAAAGGAACCACAACATTTCTTTAAGCTAAATGCTAATCCAGAGCAAGGCCTTAAGTCCCTGAATTCAGTTCCATGAAGGCCCAGAGATTGGTAAGGGAGCTGCAGAAGAAAAAAAGCTAGCGGAGGTTGGTTCCTTAGGAAAAGAGCTGGCTGGTGTTAGCAAAGGAGCTGGCGCCACAATTAAAAAGCACAGGGCAAAGCAGTTCTACCTGGGGTAGAACTGCAGCAGGTTGTGGAGAAGCCCTCACTGAGGTGCCTGATGAGGGCCGCTGGGCTAACAGGTTTTTCCATGTAAATGAAACAATCTGCTACTGGGAAAAATGCCAGCAAGGACTTTCCTACCTGGAAGGGAGAAGATGTTGCCTGGTTCAAAGCTTCAAAAAACAGGCTGACTCTCTTGTTAGAAGGCCAGTTCTAGGAGCTTAAGAATTACACTAACTCCCCTATACCGGTGCTCCATGAATCAAAAACAAAGCTTGGATGACAATGCATCACTTGACAACATGGTTTACTAACTATGTTAGGCCTCCCTCCCCCAGCGCTGACAGCCACCGTTCTACCTTCCATCTCTGTGAATTTAACTGCTCCAAGTATCTCATAGAAGTGGAATCATGCAGTATTTTTCTTTATTTATTTATTTTAATTAGGCATCTATACAAAGTCATACAGTATTTATCCTCTTGTGACAGGATTATTTCACTTAGCTTCATTATTTCACTCAAGCTTCACCCATGTGTTAGGATTTGTCAGAATGTTTTTTCTGTTTGTGACGGGGTAATATTTCATTGTACGCATAGATTACACTTTGTTTATCCATCCATCAATGGGTACAGATTGTGGATTTTTAAAATTTTCATTTTGGGTGGTACTGGGGATGGAACCCAGGGCCTCATGCTTGCTAGGCAAGTGCTCCAACACTAAGCTACAGCCCCAACCCTCTGGATGTATCTTGAAGGAAGAGTCAAGAGGGTTGCTCCACAAACACCAAGGGACAGCTATACAAATTGCTATGCTTCAAAATTGAATAGATGCTGTTAGGTGGAACAAACTACTAACTTCATTCTGTAAAATAAACATATAAATATTTTAAGTCCATTGCTGACAACCACTGCTCAGAAAAAAAAAAAAAAGATTCTTTCCAAAACAATTACTGGTCACTTATAGTGCACCTGACCACCAGAGAGCTCGGATGGAGATGTAAAATTGAATTAATGTTTTCATGTCTGCTAACACAACATCCATTCTGCAGTCCATGGATCAGGGAGTAATTTCAACTTTCAAGCCTTATTTAAGAAATACACTTCATAGGAAATCCTCTGATGGATCTGCTCACAGTAAGTTGGAAACCTCCTAGGAAGGACTTGCCATTCTAGCTGTCACTAAGAACATTCCTGTTTCATGCGAGGAGGTGAAAATATAAAATTGAACGAGAATATGGAAAAAGTTGATTTCAACCTTCATACATGACTTCAAGGAGTTTGGGGCTTCACTGCACAAAGAAATTACAGATTTGATGTAAATAGTGAGAAGTTGTGAGTGAATTGCTGAAATCTCATGATAAAAAATTAGTAGATGAAGTGTTGCTTCTTATGAGTAAGGAAAGTGGTAAAATGGCTTGTTTTTCTTTTTCTTTTTCCTTTTTTTTTTTTTTTTTGTATCCCCGGTGCTTAACCACTGAGCTACATACCCAACCCATTTTTATATTTTTATTTTGAAACATTACCAAGTTGCTGAGGTTGGCCTTGAACTTGTGATCCTCCTG